TGACATCATGGTAGCAGAAGGAACTAAAAAAAAAAATTCAAAACCCCTGACATCATGGTATAAGAGGGAACTACAAACCCCTGACATCATGAAAGCAGCGGGAACTACAAAACCCTTGACATCATGGTAGCAGCGGGAACTACAAAGCCCCTGACATCATGGTAATAGCGGGAACTATAAAAACCCTGAAATCATGGTAGCAGAGGAAACTACAAAACCTCTGACGTCATGGTAGCAACGGGAACTATGAAATCCCTGACATCATGGTAGCAGTAGGAACTATAAAACCCCAGATATCATAGTAGCAGTGGGAACTTCAAAACCCCTGACATCATGGTATAAGAGGGAACTACAAAAAACCCTGACATCATGGAAGCAGCGGGAACTATAAAACCACTGACATCATGGTAGCAGAAGGAACTACAAAACCCCTGACATCATGGTATAAGAGGGAACTACAAAACCCCTGACATCATGGTAGCAGAAGGAACTACAAAACCCCTGACATCATGGTATAAGAGGGAACTAAAAAAACCCTGACGTCATGGTAGCAGAAGGAACTACAAAATCCCTGACATCATGGTATAAGAGGGAACTACAAAATCCCTGACATCATGGTATAAGAGGGAACTACAAAACCCCTGACATCATGGAAGCAGCGGGAACTATAAAACCCCTGACATCATGGTAGCAGAAGGAACTAAAAAAAAATTCAAAACCCCTGACATCATGGTATAAGAGGGAACTACAAACCCTTGACATCATGGAAGCAGTGGGAACTATGAAACCCCTGACATCATGTTAATAGCGGGAACTATAAAAACCCTGAAATCATGGTAGCAGAGGAAACTACAAAACCTCTGACGTCATGGTAGCAACGGGAACTATGAAATCCCTGACATCATGGTAGCAGAGAGAACTATAGAACCCCTAAGACATAATGGTTGCAGCGGGAACTACAAACCCCTGACATCATTTGTAGCAGCGGGAACTACAAAACCTTACATTATGGTAGTAGAGGGAACTACAAAACCCCTGACATCATGGTAGGAGATGGAACTATAAAAACCCTGACATCATGGTAGAAGCGGGAACTACAAAACCCCTGACATCATGGTAGCAGAGGGAACTAAAAAAAAAAACTTGAGATCATGGTAGCAACGGCAACTACAAAACCCATGACATGATGGTAGCAGTGGGAACTACAATCCCCTGACATCATGGTAACAGAGGGAACTATGAAACCACTGACATCATGGTAGCAGCGGGAACTATAAAACCCCTGACATCATGGTAGCAGAGGGAACTATAAAACCACTGACATCATGGTAGCAGAAGGAACTAAAAAAAAAACTGACATCATGGTAGAAGCGGGAATTACAAAACCCCTGACATCATTGTAGCAGCGGGAACTACAAAATCCCTGACATCATGGTAGCAGCGGGAACTACAGAACCCCTGACATCATGGTAGTAGAGGGATCTACAAAACCCCTGACATCATGGTAGTAGAGGGAACTACAAACCCCCTGACATCATGGTAGTAGAGGGATCTACAAAACCCCTGACATCATGGTAGCAGAGGGAACTATGAAACCCCTGACATCATGGTAACAGCGGGGACTATGAAACCACTGACAGCATGGTAGCAGCGGGAACTACAAAAACCCCTGACATCATGGTAGTAGAGGGAACTACAAAACCCGTGACATCATGGTAGCAGAGGGAACTACAAAACCCCTGACATCATGGTAGCAGTGAGAACTACAGAATCCCTAACATCATGGTAGCAGCGGGAACTACAAAACCCCTGACATCATGGTAGCAGCGGGAACTACAAAACCCCAGACATCATGTACAGCAAACTACAAAACCCTTGACATCATGGTAGCAACGGGAACTATGAAATCCCTGACATCATGGTAGCAGAGGGAACTACAAAACCCCGAACATCATGGTAGCAGAGGGAGCTGCAAATCCCCCAACAGAGAGAGAGAGAGAGAGAGAGAGAGAGAGAGAGAGAGAGAGAGAGAGAGAGAGAGAGAGAGAGAGAGAGAGAGAGAGAGAGAGAGAGAGAGAGAGAGAGATTAAAAGTTCATATACTATTCCTGTTGAATCTTGAAGGATTTAAGTAGTGCTGATAATGCTGACAAAATAATGCCCAGCAGAAATCATCTTAAAAGGGGGGGGGGGCGGTGAAGGGTGATAGTTGCTATGCATTAACTATCTTGAGTAATGTTGAAAGGTTAAAGATGAGTAAAGGAGTTAGTATGTGAATGGGCTATAGTGGGTCTAGGTAAGGGGATTGCATGAGGGATTCATGTGTGTATCCAGGAGGAAGTGGAAGGGACAAAGGGGATGGAGAGAGGGAAAATGTACGTGTAGATGGAGCTGAGAGGGATTGGTTGTGTTGGGAGTGAGTAGGAGGAAGGGGTGTAGGGGGGATATGAGTCGGAGGAAGATGGATATCGGTAGTAGACGGAGTTGAGGAGGATAGGTTGTGTTGGGCGGGAGTAGGAGGAATGGTGTAAGGGAAATATGAGTAGGAGGAGGATGGATATCGGCAGTCACTTCGAGTGAGGAGGGAGCATGAATTGTGGATTTTTTTCTCGACCTTTCAATATCTTCCATAGTTTCTTCAGTGGAGTTGGTTGGAGGTTTTCTTATGAGGATGGGAAGAGGAATCTGGTGTCTGAGGAATAAAAGCAAAGGTAGGTGGAGGTGAGTGGCAGGAGTAGGGGTGGAACGTTTAGTCTGTCTGCTGCAGGTAGTGCGGAGAGGGAGAAGGGACGGCGTTGGGGCTGCAGTTGAGATTTGAGTGTCTGGGTTTAAAGTGGCAAAAGAATTTGACTAGGGAAGGTAGGAGGTAGAAGTGGATATGGGGAAGTAAGTAGGTAAAGGGGAGAGTGTAGGAATATCCTGGGTTGGAAGGGGAGGGGCAGAGGGAGCAACATTACTAGAGTAGTGACTATGAGAAAAACCTCGTGACGTGCTTCCTGTCTGGCTTCACTATAGAGACCTAGTTTGTATCTGAAAGCTGCTACCTCAGACTCAAACTTTTAAGTGGGGCAGCCTTTATAAAATACAATATGGGGGCCGCCGCAGATAGCACATGTGCGTGTTTGTGCAGAACAATCTGATCAGTTATGACCCGGTTGGGCACATAAGGGGCATCGGTCTGTGGAACGGTAGTGTTTAGCAGGATGTCCAAAGCGCCAACAGTTTTGACATTGACAGGGAGGAGGTTGGTATGGTCGAACAGGGAGGGATTGTCCACCGATGTAGATACGAAAGGGAAGGTCATGTGTACGGAAAGTAATTTCCGCAATGCTGGTGGGTTTCTTTAGATGACCTCTAGGAGGAATGGAGTAGCACTGCCTGGGGTCGGGAAGTCGGTAGAATTTGAATTGGTGGGTCTATTTGATGAAGGGGCAAGCCTCATTGCCCCTAATAAGGGTATTACGTCTCCATTACTGGCCAAGGGATATAAACAGTCAACCCCTCAGAGCCTCCTTGAGGGGTAAGGTCTAGACAACTAAAACAGGGGAATACCGTGCCCATGGTTACCTCAGGCCGTTCAGGACTGGCACAAACACAGCCTTTCATCCATTCAGCACGGCTCTTACACTTTAGGAAACAGATAGTAGAAGGGGTTAGAGATGGGACGGAAACAAAGGGAGAAAAGACTATGCAAAATTAGTTGAGTCGAGGGTTGATCTCTGCATTAGGTCTCAGTCTGTCTCCTAAGCCCCCCAAGGCAAGAACAGGCAAGGGATTGGGAGGGATTGCATAATCAAGTTGAACTAGAAAGCCACACGACACTTGTAGAGAGCCTGACAAGACCATGCTTATTATTATTCTTTTTATTTAATAATTTATTATTATTATATATATATATATATATATATATATATATATATATATATATATAATATATATATATATATATATATAAAATATATATACATACTCGACAGATTTTGCCGGACATCTCGTTAGCAGGCAATGCTCCCCTAAGCCAGAGATCCGAGGACGGAAGACTGCAACAAGGCACTGACTTCACATATTAATCAGGGAGACAAAGGCACCTTTTTATCATTATTTTATTGTGGCAAATGTGTTTCAATCTTAACAAGGAGTTGTGACCAAGCTCCTTTTTATGGTTAGCTATTTATTTAACTTCCGTAGGTGTTGCAAGTAAACAGAAAGCTAAAATCATATCTTTAGTGTTTAAGAACCATCGGCGATGGTTTTCGGTGCTAAGTATTGTATTTTTTAATACTTAGGATTTTATTTTTATTAGGTTTTCTTTTATTGTTTTTTAAGTCTTCATTCGTAAATCTTCAGTTTTACTAGCCATATTTATCCCAGGCCCACCGTCCCTTCGGAGGGTTTTCACTGCTCGGCCCGCTCTGACACGAAAAGCTCCACTGACATGAGCAGTACATCAGTTGACTCCTTCACAAATAGGGTCGCATTGATCGACCGAGTGTACAGAAATTAAACAATTCAAACAGTTGAACGAAATTTCTGCAGGCAAAATTGGTGGCCGAATATTTAAAAATTCTGCAGTTTCATTTCCATACCTGACTCTCCTCATATGGATAAATGGCGCCTGTACCAGCCTTACTTCTTGATCTTTCTGCTCATCAATTCCATACGAACTTGTACTGCATGCACTGAGTGACATCTGAACATCCTGCTAACAAACTGATAACTGACGAAAGATGCAGTAAGAGGCCATAGAATCGTTAATGGGTGAGGAATTGGTTTCCCATACTTCTAAGTATCAGAAGGTGTCAACACCCTCATTGGTATTATCCCCGGCATCAGGCACTTAGGGGAATCCATCACGGCCTGTTGAAAGACAGTCCCAAGCTGGATAGAAAGTGAAAGCGAGAGTGAGAGTGAAAGTGACATCCAGCTAATCTTGCATCATAATTTCCGATACGTGCATGAACTTGCATGTTTTGCAATTCTGTGACATTCAAACATACAAGATCAATTTCATTAGTATAATTTATTAATAAATCATTTACAAATAATTAAAAATGAGTTCGTTATATTTCTATAAAGTACATTAATATGACAACAGCATAATCTATAGTGACCTATGATCCATTCCTAACCTATTCGAGCTGTGTGACATCATGACAACTGAAATGTCTTACTTTCAACAACTGGGGAAAAATAACAATTTGCATTAGAATTTCATGCTAAGGAAGAAAATACATATACAAGCAAATAAAAATGTATGGAATAGTTTTGATCATACATGATTCATGGGGATATGAGAAAATAAAATAAATCAACAAAATTTCATGAATGAATGAGTAGTGTGCATCTCATAACAGTACTGGTAACAAAGGCTAGGGGAGGCCCCACTGTTGTCACCCAGAGTTTATTTCCCATAAATATGCACAGAACTGTCCAGGACCCTACTTCTCGCCTTGCCGGATGGGAGCCAACATCTCTCTAGTGGAACCTCAGTTTTCAGGTTTTTTATAAACAACACAACCAAGCAGATCACGTCCATTGTACCTCTACTGAGGAACTAAACATCAGTTCTGCAGAGGCTTTTCCTATTGCCATTTAAGTTGTCTTAGTGCTAGCTCAGTTGGTCGAGACGGACATCGAAATACACAGAGCCTTTTGTGGGAGTCAAATGCCAGGGTGATAATCTCTTCTTCGAGGAGGAGAGATTGGGAGCTGAAGTGAAAACCCTTGGACGAGAACCTGGAGACCAAGGCCTGGGTGATAAGTAACCTGTTGGAAGTCCTATGGGAGCCTTGCAACACATGGGCTCAAACATGTTTCTGCTTCTACGGCGGACCTTGGCCATGGCCTTAACCTGCCGAGGTGTAGAGTAGGAGTGATCATGGGCGCTGGTCAAGACATGGGAGGATGCAGGTGGAGGAGAGGACTCAGGATTAAAGCAGGTGAAGGAAGCGCCATGGGGGTTATGGGGGACGCCAAGTGGGGACCCTGGCCTGCCTCACAGCTGTGCCTGCGAGCCTCGCCATGACATCTGACCGAAGCTGACAGCGCCATAAGTTGTTCCATATCCAATACTACCATAGTACTCGCTAGGAGCTCTACCCATTCCAGATGGCGAGTATCCACCCTGTACAAATAAACAGGTATCATTATTATAATATAAATTGCCAGTAAAAACAGCAACTCAAAACTTGTTGGTCAAAATATGTCAAAAACTTCCTAAAACTTACAGCCATGTATCTGTTCAGCTCATCCTGCGTATCGAAGATCATAACAACAAATGGGCTTCCAGGGACATGTTCACCAGACCATTTGACCTCCATGCGGTAGTCACCAGGCTCAGTTGGGTCGTACTTGCACAAAATAGTTCGGTCTTTCTGTGACTCACGCTGCATCTCCACACGAAAAGCACCTTTAAAAGGAAATTCAGTACCATCAGTCCTTCAAAATAATGATTAATGTGCATGAAGGTGGTAGCAAATATCCTTACATGTCAATTATAAGACTATATACCATCATTGTTGTTACTGTTGTTACTACTACTAGTTCTATGTGTACAATTAGCACTCCTGGTATCTGTACACACACACTATGACAGAGATTTTAGATGTATTTACCTTTAGGTCCTCTGATCCTAACAGTGAGCTGCCCAGCTCCAGCACCGCGGGTGTCACAAATAAAGCGACTCTGGTAAGAGGCCAACACGCCGTGCTCAATCCCCGGTCCATACACGCGCACCTGGCGGCAAGTGGAAGAATCGTCAGATCGTGAAATCACCTCCATGAGATATAGTAACCATAACGGAGTTTTACTGGGAAAGAAAATACAATCACATATTTCTCTTCTCTATCTCTTTCTCTCATTCTCACTCATACACTTTCACTCTTTCACGCTCTCTCACACTCAAACTCTCTCACATACACAAAAATACGATGAAAATGGACAGATAGCAAGTACGAATCTTTCTTATGAAATAAAAGAATTACTTTGTTGTTAAATTATCCTAATAATCTCATTCCACGTAAAATATTAACAGTTTAGGTCCTCCAAAATATTTTGTTTACCGTATTCATTTCCCGGTGTTAAGACGGTTCACAACTTGAGAAGAGATGAAATCATACATTTATTCCGAGAATCAGTGCAGCAAGCATTCCGACTAAATAGGTCTTATTCTCAACCATAATTAAATTAATCTTACTTCTTAATATATAGCACAGTACTGCTGCTAAGGTAAATATGTGATCGGAGTTACCGTACAGCCTATCTTGGCAGTTATACTACAGATCGCCAATAATATTAACGTTTTGCATCACTGTCAGTTTATTTTTCTTTTGAACAAATTTCAAAATGCCCACTTCTTACTCTTCATTCGTCGTATCAAACTTTAAACATAAAAGCCCTTTTAAATATCAAACTTAAAAGTCTATAGTAAAGGGGAGGCTTGGGTGTAACCATAATTTTTATCTGTATTTTTCTTATCTCGTAGATTGGCAAATATTTTGTATGTCCACTTAGATTTGGAGATGTGTAGGCCTATGCGACAAACAAGGAACGATATGGTCAAGTGCGCCCCTTATACGCCAATATGTGTCCTCTTCGAATATGAAACATAGAACAAACATCTTACTCAGTTGTCAGCAAGACTGTAGCACCCTTGGCTAATTACCATATAAAATGGATATCATTATAATTTTGTTTGTTTCCTTCTGAAAAATTTCATTCCTCGGATTTAGAAACCTGTCTAAACAACCGATATTCAAAATGGTAATAGCAGGAGCAAGCAATACCTTAGATGGATCAGGGGCTCCAGCAACCTTGAGCGTATAGGGGGACCCAGGAACATGGTCTCCCTCATATTTCACGTTCAGAGCATGGCGGCCGGACTCCTAGAATCAAAATATAATTCTAATGTATCATATATCATAATTGAGTAAATAATGTGAATTATAAGCATGATATCAGAGTAAATGGAAATACTAGTACACATTGTTTTAAGCATACCTGTGGCCTAATGTTTAGTGTAAAGGTACCATCACTATGGTCATCCAAGTCACACAAAGCAACCTTGGTAGGACCGCTGCAGGTGACAGTGAGCTCACCAGGTCCCGCCCGTCTTGTGTCTATGAATGACTTGATGTCGTTCCCAACCATGCCATGCCTAAGGCCCTCTCCGGAGCAAATTACTCTTGAGGCATCTGCCACTCTTTCCACATTGACTTTCAGAGGGCAGCCTCTTACCTGGCGATCTGACCACATGACATTTAGGAGATAAGCACCAGGAACCATAGGTGTGTAAATTGCTCTCCAGATACCTCCTCCTTGATGTGAAAGGGAAATAGAGATATCAGCCTTTGTACCGCTCATTGTAACATCTGGAGCTCCAGGTCCAGCTGCGGAGCCATCAATGATAAACTCGGACTGGTCTCCACAACGGGCAGTTGTGAGTCCATGTCCTTGAAGTGTCACCCGAGTATGGTCTCCAGTGGATGCTGGCTCGGCCCACCCAAATACAGGCATGTCAGGCAAAGGAAGATCAGCATACCACAAGCGTATCTCATATGACCCTTCACCAGGAGGAGTGAACACCAGGCGTGAACGTGATCCATTTTGGTCTATATTGCAGTCAATATTTCTACCCTCGTAAGTAACTTCAGATCGCAGTTTCCCTGGTCCAGCCTCGCTAACATCAAAGGCCAGGCGTTTTTCCTCACGTGGAGTTAACTCAAGCCGCCCCTCACTGTCCTGAAGGCTTGACCACCCACCAATCAGACGCACTCGTGCGGGGTTGACGATTTTGGGATGGAAGGGGCTTCCTGCCACGTCACGCTTGTTCCACTGTACCCGAATATCAAAGAGGCCGACCTCATGAGGGACATATGTCACCTGTGGAAAGAATCTTTACTTGTAATAATATATATTTGTGCACTCATTTACACACAAAAAAGAAATAAACCAGAATAGTGATAAATCAACTTTTTAAGTATTCATAAATTGAGTACTTGCCTGGTAAAGTCCTTCTTCTTGTTTCCGGACACTGACCCTTGCCACACTATCAGGGCCATCAACAGTAACATGAGGTTCACCCAACAATCCACGCCCATCCACCGAGAAAGAGAGAGGAGTGTCCACTGCTCCGCCATCTAAGCCTGACCCTTTTACAGTCGCTAGTCCTGACTCACCAACATCTAAGATCATGGGCGAACCTGGCACCTGAAAATAAAATCAAACTGTGAAAACACCTGCCTGTTTCATATATGAATAGCTTTAATTTCTGCAAAGTATTGCTGCTGAAAATATCACAAATTAATATTTACAAATACTTAAAAATATATGCAGCTGAAAATA